CGTCTCCATTCCCTAGTGCCAAACCTCAGAATGCCCGGAATGGCCCCCTGGGCAGGTGCCACCTTGGCCCGGCCCTGGCCCTGGCCCTGCCCCCAGGGATACTGGGACACAGTTGCCTTAGTTGGGATGGGACGAGGGAGATGGGGCCCAGGAAGGACCCAGGCAGCCAAAGCCACTGTCCACGGCCTGCACCCTCACTGCCTCCTGTTCCCCTACCCCCAGCTGGCCCAGAAGTATGATCACCAGCGGGAGCAGGAGCTGCGAGAGTGGATCGAGGGGGTGACCGGGCGCCGCATCGGCAACAACTTCATGGACGGCCTCAAGGACGGCATCATCCTGTGCGAGTGAGTGGGGCTGTCCTGGCCCTCACACTCCGCGCCATGTAGCTCCTCAGCCCCCTCCAGGCATCAAGGCCCAGCTGGGTCAAACACTTACTGTGTGAGACCTCCAAACAGTCCAAATAATCCTCACGCCCACGTAGCAGACAAAGAAAATGGAGCCTCAGCTGGGTGTGATGGTTCACGCCTGTCAGCCCAGCATCCCGGGAGCCTGAGGCAGGAGGATCTCAAGTTCCAGCCCAGTCTGGGCAATTGAGTGACTTAGTGGAATGTGCTTCAAAAAACAAATCAAAACAAACAATAACAACAAAAATCAAAGTCTCAGATGCTGGGAGGGAAGAGTTGGGGTGTTTATCTTGTTTCCTGTTTTAAAAAAAAGACTAGGGAGCAAAGTAACCATTCATTCATTCACACAACAAGCACTTACGGAGCTCCTGCTGCACACAGGTCTCTGTTGTAGGCACAGGGGCAGGGAAATCCTAGTGGGAGAGATAAGTGGACTCAGATAATTACATACTAATGTGGTGGGAATGTGCAGTTTCCCAGTCCCTGAAAGAGATTGGAGAGAAGAGCAATTAGACAGCGCAGAGAGGCCATGCAAAGGCCCTGAGGCCCTGAAGCCAGCAGCTGATGGGAAGTGGAGGCAGATAAGTCAGGGAGTTAAGTGCAGGCCAGTGAGGCAGGACTGTTAGCCAAGCAAAGGAGTTTAAACCAGGCATGGTGGTACACACCTGTAATCCCAGGACTTGGGAAGCTGAGGCAGAAGGATGCTGTGAGTTCAAGGCCAGCCTGGACTACATAGGGAGACTGTCTCAAAAACAAACGAACAAAAAACAAGGGAGTTTGTTTTATTCTGAAGGCAATGGGAAGCCACCGGGGGATCTGAAGTGGAGAGTAACTTGAATGTGGTGTGTGGGTGTGGGGTGTTGCTGAGCCACATCCCCAGCCCTTACCCCCTTTTAAACTTTATTTTGAGACAGGGTCTCACTAAGTTCCCTGGGCTGGGGTCAAAATGCAGTCCTCCTGCTTCAGCTTCCTAGTAGCTGGGATTACAGGCATATGCCACCATGCGGCCTCCTTGATAGTTTTTTAAAGGTTTTTTCCTGGCTGCTAGATGAGGAAGGATCTCTAGGGGGATGAGGTGGAAGCCGGGAGTCCCTGGGTTGCCACTGGAAAAGGCCAGCAGAGACATGGTGGTGACCCGGACCAGGGTGGGGTGGCTTCTGGTGCGTTTAGAAGGATGAGCCAAAGGACTTGTTGAGGGATTGGATGTGCGGCTGGGAGGTAGGGAAAGAGGAGTCAAGTGCAAGTTCACTGGCTTCGGCTGAACACCTGAAGGGTGGACGCTGATTTACTAACCCGGGAAGGATGGAGAGGGGGGAACTTGGTGAGGAGGGGCATCAGGAGTCTGGCGTGGGGTGTGTTTGATTTAAACCAATTTGAGACCCCCATGGAAGGAGCCAGATTGGAGACAGAGAGATCTGAGCCACAGGGAGACACTGGGGAGTTGCTAGTACATCCAGAACCCTACAATCAAGATAACAGTGAGATCCCCAAAGGGGTCTGTTTGGCCAGGGGACAGCCCATGTGGGCTCTGCCATATCTGCAAGAGAAATCATCACTGAGATGTGGCCAATAGTGAGGGCACAGGAGGCGTAGTGTGGCGGTATATACCTGTCATCCCAGCACGGGAGGCTGAGGCAGGAGAATCACCATGAGCTCCAGGCCAGCCTGGGCTATGGAGTGAGTTCAAAGCCAGCCTGGGCTACATAGTGAGACCCCATCTCAAAAAAGCCTCAATCAGTCAGTCAAGTTGCAGGGAGACCAGGAGATGCCATGACACAGGGACTTTGCAGAGGGTGACCTGGCTTCTCTGGCCCCTAAGAGTGTGCCGGGGTGGTCTGGCCAGGCTGCCTGTGACAGCTGACTCCCTGCTTCCTTATAGATTCATCAATAAGCTCCAGCCAGGCTCAGTGAAGAAGGTGAATGAGTCGACCCAAAATTGGCACCAGGTAAGGCCAGGCAAGCCCTTGGGCACACAGCCCTCAGCCCCTGGCCCTCTGGCCCCTGACGCGCCTGCTCCCCATAGCTGGAGAACATCGGCAATTTCATCAAGGCCATTACTAAGTATGGGGTGAAGCCTCACGACATCTTCGAGGCCAACGACCTGTTTGAGAACACCAATCATACCCAGGTGCAGTCCACGCTCCTGGCCCTAGCCAGCATGGTGAGTGGGGGCCAGGTGGGCAGCGGGCAGGCGGCCCCGTGAGAGCAGCACTGCCCAGTCTCTGAGGGGACCAAGCAGCATGCTGGACGCTCTCTCCTGCCCTTGTCCTCCGCCCCACCCAGGCCAAGACGAAAGGCAACAAGGTGAATGTTGGGGTGAAGTATGCAGAGAAGCAGGAGCGGAAATTTGAGCCAGAGAAGCTGAGAGAAGGGCGGAACATCATCGGGCTACAGGTCCTGCCCCTTCTCCACTGGGGCATCATGGGAGGACAGACTGGGCCCTGCAGGCTGTGGGGACACGGTGTTTGCCATTAACTATGGGCTGAAAATTCTTGTTCTTTCTCTCTCTCTCTCTCTCTCTCTCTCTCTCTCTCTCTCTCTCCCCCCCCCTCCCTTCCTTCTTTCCTTCTTTCCTTTCTTTCTCTTTCTAGACAGGGTCTTACTATGTAGTTCAGGCTGGCCTTGAACTCACTATGTAGCCCAGGCTGGGCTTGAACTCACAGCAATCTTCCTGCCTCAGCCTCCTGAGTGCTAAAATGACAGGTGTGCATACCTGTCTTTCTGCATTTTCCATTGACCAAATCCCTCCCTCTGCCACTGCTTTCCCTTGTACTTACCCCAAGGGCGACTGGCAGAGGGAAAAATAGGGAAACTGAGGCCTGAAAGAAGCTAGTTCACTTTTTCCAGATAGCCCAGTGAAGGAGCAGTGGGCTGGGCTGTGAGCACGAGATGCTGGTCCTGAGATGTGTTCCTCAGGCTCGGTTTCCAGCCTGTCCCCTGAAGATGGCAGTAGCACCTCAAGCTTTGACACTCGCCCTGTCTCGTGGCCTCTGGGGAGACTCTGGTCCTCAGGGTGATTCTCCCTCTGCCTTCCTAGATGGGCACCAACAAGTTTGCCAGCCAGCAGGGCATGACAGCCTATGGCACCCGGCGCCACCTCTATGACCCCAAGCTGGGCACAGACCAGCCGCTGGACCAGGCCACCATCAGCCTGCAGATGGGCACCAACAAGGGGGCCAGCCAGGTGAGCGGGGGCCTCGGGGTGCGCCGGCCAGCCCAGGGCTCACTGCTGTCCCTGCGGCCTGACCTCCCTGCCCTTCTCCACAGGCTGGCATGACGGCACCTGGGACCAAGCGGCAGATCTTCGAGCCGGGCCTGGGCATGGAGCACTGCGACATGGTCAATGTCAGCCTGCAGATGGGCAGCAACAAGGGTGCCTCGCAGCGGGGCATGACGGTGTACGGGCTGCCACGCCAGGTCTACGACCCCAAGTACTGCCTGACGCCCGAGTACCCAGAGCTGGGCGAGCCGGTGCACAACCACCACCCGCACAACTACTACAACTCTGCCTAGGCCCCAGGGGCTGCTGCCACTGCTGCTGCTGCTCTAGGCTGGACCCCGCCGGCCCAGCTGACCCCTGCCCCTGCATGGCGTCCCCCAGCCCCCTGGCACGTGCCTACAGGGTTACGGTTTGGGGAGAGCAGTCCGGCGGGGGCCTGTGTGTGCGGGAAGCGGGCCCTCCTCTTTGTAGCGCTGCAGGGTCCAACACGGAGCCGGGGTGTCCCCGACAGCACTCAAGGGCACACTGAGCAAAGCTATCCAGCTGCCCTACTCCCTCACAAGTGGGTACCCCAGGACCAGGAGCCCCCCCTTCCCAAGCAAAGCCCCCAGAGCCCAGGCTCGGCCCGGCCTCGGCCCCTCCCGCGGCGGGAGTGAACTGCATGCCGGGAGACGCAGGACACGCGCGGTTTGGTTTGCAGCGACTGACGCAGGTGGTGTGACGGCGGCGTTTGTAACTCGAGCACTTCCTTTTCTATTTCACTGGAGCACAATAAATGGCTGTAAAATCACCAGAGCCTTCAAGGACTCTGGGTATTGGGGCCTGGGGCCTCTTGTACACATACAAACAATCCTGCTTGGATACGCCCCACCGGGGGTCCCCGAAGTGTTAGGAAGGGGCCACACAGCAGGAGGTACAGGGAGGCTTCAGCTGTGATTCTAGCTCCTCTCAGGTCTGTCAGATCAGTGAGGCATTCGGGTCTTTCTCACCGGAGCGCAGACCTAACGGCGAGGCGAGCTATGCCTGTGAGGACTCTGCGGCATACAGCCCTTTAAGTCACCCCCAAACCATCACCACCCCCCAACCCTAGGCCATGGCAAAATTGTCTTCCATGGAACCAGTCCCTGGTGCCAAGAATGCACACGCATGTCCCAGGAAACACACATGCATTGGGCCTGGTGGTGCACACCTGTGATCCCAGCACTTGGGAGGCTGAGGCAGAAGGATCAAAAGTTCCAGGCCAGCCTGAACTACACAGTGAGACCCTGTCTCAAAACACAACAAAAAAACAAGCTGGGGATTTAGCTCAGTGGCCCCGTGTCTGCTTGGCTGGCACAAGGTCCTGAGTTCGATTCCTGGTACCAAAAAAAAGCAAAGAAAAAAAGATACACACATGGACTTCCCGTCCACTTGGCTGGATACAGGCCATGCACTCTGACACACTCAGGCAAAATTCACACATGTACACCCCAACTGTCTCCATGCAACTACGCATACACACATCCCATATGCACTCACATCTACAATGTACAAAAAGCATACACTGGCCTGGGGGTGTGGCTCAGTGGTGAGCAATTGCTGAGCTGGTGCAAAGGCCCTGGGTTCCATTCCCAGCACAGCAAAAAGAAAGCGAGTCTAACTGTACTCTGAGTGCCGGCAGACTCAGCCCTGCATACTACACGAGGTCCACACACCTTTTCCTAGAACCTGTGGTTTGTGGTGAGGAAGACCCAGTGCTGAGACTGGTGAGACAGCTGTGAATCCTCGCTTACTGGCTAGGCGACTTTGGACAGGTCCCTTCCCAACACGGCCCTGGGCCTTTGTCTCCAATGAGAAGATGGGGACAATGAATATCATAGGGAGTGCTGCCATAAAATGCCATGCAAGGTCCTGGGGCCACCCTTTAGCCCAGGACAATGGGGACAGCAGGCAGTGGGTTGGCTTGGCCTCTGGCCTGAGGCTATGATCTGCCAGGGAACAGTTGAGGGCTTACTGGCTGTGTCCTGAGTCTGCCTTCCCAGTCCAGAACCTTAGTCTGTGGCCAGGGCTCCCATGTCCTTATGCTTCAGAGTGGACCCTGTTTTCCCAGTGAAGAGAGGGCCCCGACCATCCCGCCTAGAAGCCACCAGCCGTTGATTCCAGGGAGGGAATTCAGACATGGGAGGGGACCCAGAGCTGTCTGCACCTCCTCTGCCCACCCAAGGACAGGGGTGGAGGCCGGAACACGGGGACCCACAGAGACAGACAACAGAAACCCCACATGCAGATGCACACAGCTCCTTGGGCCTTGTAAAGCGGATTCCAGGCTCTCTCAGTGGCTCGAGGAAGCTATGCCGAGGAGAACGTGTGCTGGCCCACAGCCGGGCCTCCTCGTGAAAACAGCACCATATTAGCACTGGGCCTGTCGGAGAAGCAGGGGCTCTTCTTGCTGGGCCCTGCGGGCACCCCACCCAGGTGCCTGCCCACCACGCTGCCAGGGAGGCAGGACTACAGGGAAGATGAACGGCAGACCCAGCAGCACAGGCAGGTGGTCAAGGCTTCCAGGCCCCCCAATGTTTTCCTCAGCCACTGGTGCTTGCCACTGTCCTGGGCAGGCCCCAGAGCCACCTGCTCCTCTATCCTCAGCCCAGCCCTGGAAGGCTCCTGCATCCTTCCCTCTGTGCCACTCAGGCTTTGGGGCCAGGTGGAGGTGCTGGACCTGTGCAGGTGGCCAGGGTCAGGGGTGTCACCCTTGCGACTGTCCAAGGGGCCTCCAGCTGCTATCAGCCACGTGGACCCTGTCGACACCTCCTGCCTTGGCAAAAGGCCCCTTCTGTGGACCTCGACACTGCTCCAGTGTCCCTCCCCACCACAGCCCCCTGCCTGGGAGCTGTCCCCTCAGCCTGGCTCCTGAACTTTTGGTACCGGGGATCGAACTCAGGACCTTGCGCTTTGTGAGGTAGTGGCAAAACCACTGAGTTAAATCCCCGGCCCTGGGCCCTGGCTCCTGAACTTTTTTCTTTTCATTTTCATGGAGAATAGTTAGGATGACTTTGTCCCTCTCTCTTAACCTTTTATTAGGCAACAGCCTATCTCTACTTTAAGGAAAAAAGACACAGCTTCATAGTCCCACACTTTTCAATCACGTTGGCCTGCTCCTCAGTGTAGTTTCCGCTTCTGGTCACATGGCTCGGGTAAGGGGCCACACCTTCCCACGGAGCCCCCTTCCCAGTCTGCTGACTGACATGTCACTCCTCGGCCCTCAACCAAACTTCTCTGAGCATGTTGTTTCTGACTCCTGAACTTTTAAGGAAGTGGGTTGTGGGCTACAGAGCCTCAGTCCCTGGGTTCAAGTTCCAGCTGGGCCTGTCACTTCTTCTGTGAACTTGGGGTGACCCTGGCATCTGCCTCAGGGGGTAACAAGCCCTGAGAGCTGCATGTGGCCTGGGTGGCCTTCCTTCGTCACCCTCCTCCAGTGCCACGCCCCTCCCTGGCTTTCACTGTGACTGCTGTAAACACCGGGTAACGTTTCACACCGAAATCACCCAAGAACTCAGCACACCAGGAATCTGCATTGGCTGTTTTATTGAGGGGCTCGTGACCGTTGACTGACAGCTGTCTCCAAAGCAGCCCTGCCTCCCCTACAAAAGCAACCAGAGATGAGATGGGGCTTCCGGTTAGGGCAGCGGGGCTGGCTCACTCTACCAAGGGCGCCGGGGAAGGAGGGCTTCGACTCCAAGGCCGCGGGCACACGGGCGGACTGCTATTGAAGAGGCTGGAGAAGTCCGGCACCCATCTCCTGCCCGGCCAGGATCCCAGGAAAATGCCCCTCAGGGAAACTGGAGCCTAAAGCTAGGGAGGCTGGGGGTGGGTGAAAGAGGGAGCAACCAAGTAAGCCCTGGTCGGGGCCCTCGGGCCTGCCAACTCAACCCCAAACCTACGGGCACACACTCATGCTCGCTCACGCCCATCACGCTCACGCAGACAAGAAGGGGGCCGAGACAGCCCCGGACCCACCCCCACCCCTGGAATGTCTGCCTTGGAACCCAGTGGGCCGGTCCATGGCAGGCGGGGCTGCCAAGGGGGTGGGCCCTCGGCTTCGCTACTGATTGGCTGCCTCGCAGGCGTCTATCCAATCGCTGTACACGTCCACGGGTTCTGACAGATCTGAGGCACTGAGGTCAAGGGTGATTGGCGGCAAGCAGACCCCTCCCTTGTACCAGCCACCTGGTTAAGGCAGCAGGAGATACCCATGCCTCTGGTTGGCTGGTGCCCGACACCAGGGCACACAGCATGGCCTCCAGCCCCCTTCCCTTGGCCAGGGCAGGCCTAGCCACCCGACTGGCTCTCCCATCCCCCTAAGAAGCTGGTGGGCAAGGATACAAGTGATGGGCGTCTGGAATTCCTCTAGGCACACGGTACAGGAAATGACTCCAGTGTTGCGGGCGCGGTCCCTGAAACAAGACGAGGTGGACAGTGACCCTTCAGCCTGCAGGTGGCGACCCTCCAAGCTGGGAGGCCCCAAGCAGATTGGAGGACGGCAGGGAGGTAGGACAGGGACAGACCCAGTGCCGCTGAGGCAGGATGCCCCTGCCCACTCACATTTTCACGTCACAGGACTTCTCGTGGTTGCAGAAGGGGCAGGTAAACTGGGTCTCCAAGGTGCCCGTCATCTTCTTCTTGGGGGGTGGCTTCCGTTTCGACTTCCTGCGTCCCATGGCAGCAGGTGGATGAATCTGGGGGCACAGAGAGGGCAGAGGTCAGATGTCTTGCTAAGTATTCCAGGCTGCGCTTGAACTCACTACATAGCTCAAGTTGGCCTCAAACTCAGTGATCCTCCTGCCTTCAGCCTCCCGAGTGCTAGGACTGGGTTGACAGGCATGTGCCACCACACCTGGCTCCAAACCTCCCATTCTGAGGGACGTGGCTCCCAGATCTGATAGGACAGTTGCCAAGGTTTCTGGGCAGCAGGGGTGAGAACAGGCTGTAACCCCGGCTCCCTAAATTACAGTATGACCTTGGCGGAGTTACTTAACCTCTCTGTGCTTGGTTCCCTTGTTGTATAAATCAGAGATGAGCCAGGAATGGTGGCACATGACTGCAATCCCAGCACTCGGGAGGCTGAGGCAGGAGGATCACTGACTTTGAGGCCAGTCTGAACTAAATAGCAAGACTCTGTCTCAAAACAAAATAAAAAGCAAAAGAATTTCAAACATTGGTAAGTGATTTGAAGTTACCAGAGTTCAGAAAAGTTTCTGGGGCAGGGCTATGAGGAGACTGGAAAGTTCACTTCCTAGGTGGGTGTTATTTAAACTGGGGTCTGAATGTCAGGAGGCAGTCAGGATGTACAGGCAGAGGGAGCAACAAGTCCCATGGCCCTGGGGCACATCACAGTTTTGTCAAGAGCGGGGCTGCAGCTCAAGGCACAATGGGGAGAAAGCCATGAGAGGCAAGCACCAGCCCCAAGACCCTGCAGGTTTGAGGAAGTAGTGAAGAGTAGTCTGGTCTACAGCCTATGTTGTCGCCTGCTGGGCAGCAGTGTGTCTTTCTCCGACCCTGAGTGCCTAGGAGATATCAAGCACGTAGCAGCCACTTGTGAATAAGCAAACCACCTCCTGGCTAGGGCTACAGACGGACCCTGGAACCTCACGGCACTCGGTGATCACAGATCCCACCGCCCCATGCCAGGATCAGGGTCTGGATCGCGCCGAAGTCCAAGCGCTTCGGGGTGGTGGTGGAAGAGTTGATTCCCCCAACCAACCTGCCGGGACCCCAGAGGTGGCGAATGGGCCGTGGCCCCCATATCATCGGGGCTTCAGGGTCGCCTCCTGATCGGCACCAGCAGGACCCAGGCCCACAGCTGACCCGCTCGGTACGCTGGGGTCTGGGGGACGCATCCCGTCCGGGTGGTACCCAAACCAGAGGCTCCTGAAGCCTGCTCCAGGGTCCCAGTGTGACCCCAAACAGAAAAAAAATCCGTCTCTCAGGGCCCCAGAGCCCGAGCACAAACCCTCACCTGCACTCGCTTTCCCTGGCTGCAAAGGCCAGTTCACCCAGGAGACAGTGACTTCCGGCCCCTGGAGGAAGTGGATCGCTCGCTTCCACTTAAGTCCCGCCCAGCCGTAGCTAAGACAACCGGGAGAGTAGGCCCCGCCTCCTTCCAGGCCTTCTCGGTGCGCATGCGTATTCAAATTATGAGCTGGGCGCTGGAGACACAGTGCGCCTGCGCAGCAGGTGGAGCGCTTGTAACTTTCTAAGGCTCTTGACTACTGCTTCTAGTTAAGTTCCCAGGAGTGGCTGTTTAGCGTCGCATTGGACTGTTTTTCCTTCTTTCTTTGAGACAGGGTCTCGCTATGTAGTTCAGGCTGGCCTTGAACTCACTATGTAGCCCAGGCAGGCTTCAAAGTTGTGATCCTCCTGCTTCAGCCTCCTGAATGCTGGGATTACAGGCGTGTACTCACTTGTCTTTTCTCCCAGTTCTTGTCTCAGCCCTAGCCACTTTCCAAGACTACCTAGGATGGTCTTTTGCACCTCCACATTGTTCTTTTTGTTTTGTTTTTTGAGACAGTGTCTCCTCATGTAGCCCAGGCTGACTTTGAACTCACAGCAATCCTCCTGCCTCAGCCTCCTCAGTGGTGGGATTACAGGTGTGTGGACACTGTTCTTTTAAATATCCCAGCCTTGGGCCAGGGATTTAGCTCAGTGGTGCTGCCGCCTGCCTCACAAAGCACAAGTTTCCAGTTTCGATCCCCAGTACCCCGCCCCCCCCCTCAAAAAAAACCTCAGGAAATATCCCTGCCCTGCCAAGTAGCAGCTCATACCCTTAGGGCTGAATGGGGCGGGAGTGTGTAAAAAAACCTGCCTCTGCTCAAGCTCTAAGACCTCCTTGGATCTTTGAAAAATTCAAATTCAAGCTGAAGGTAGCAGTGCAAGCCTATAATCATACTGTAATCCTAACACTCTGGGAGGCTGAGACAGGATTACAAATTCGAGCCCAGCCTGGGTAATTTAGTGATTGCCAAGACCTTCTCTCAAAAAAATAGTGGGGCCCCTCCCTGTCAAGAGCAAGTTCCTGAGTTTGTTTGGGTTTTTTTTTATTTTGGTACTGGGAATCGAACTCAGGACCTTGTGTTTGCGAGGCAGGCAGCAGAACCACTGAGGGGAATCCCCAGCCCTAGTTCCTGAGTTTGATTGGGAAAAAAAATAGTGGGGCCTTGAGGGCCATGTTCAGGCCTTACTGGATCCTGAGTTGGGAAGCGATGTTTGGTTTGTGTTTTAAGAAGCCCACTCTGGGGCCGAACCTGGTGGCACATGCCTGTAATCTCAGCACTCAGGAGGTAGAGGTAGGTGGATCACCATGAGTTCCAGGCCACCCGGGGCTACACAGTGAGTTCAGAGCCAGCCTGAACTACAAAGTGAGACCCTGTCTCAAAAAAAGAAGAAGCCCATTTTGGCCAGACATAGTGTCACATGCCTGTTGCATACCTGTGATGCCAGCACTCCGGGAGGCTGAGGCAGGAAGATCTCAAGTTCAAATCTAGCCTTTGAAACATAGTGAGACCCTGTCTCAGAATACTCAAATGGGCTGGGTACATAGCTCAGTACCACTACCACAACAAAAAATCCTCTCTAGCTGCTGGGAAGAAGTTGGCAGAGGGGAGCTAGGGGAGAATTTGAAAGCTGAGGCAGAGGCTGGATGAGAGTGAAGGGCCCAAGCCAGGGGAGTATTAACAGAGTATTAATGGAGTATTAATGGAGGTGGACAGAAGTTCATACAGCTAGAAGTCTGGATTGGAACCCAGGTGTACCAGTCAGTGCTTACTAGAGAAAGCAGAGATTACAAGATATACAGGAATATAGAAGAATTTACAAAATTGGCTTACAGTGGCCGCCCAGAGTGAGTGGGGAAGAGGGCAAACGTCTGTCTGTGCACTGAAGATCTGAAGGGTTCAGTCAAAGGCCTGCTGCTCCGAGTGGTGTCCTATGTCCGTGCTGGAAGCCAGGAGAGATGATGTCCGATGTCCAAAGCATAAACTAGATTGGAGCCCCTCCAAAGAAAACAGAAGCAGCCCTTCCTTCTTTGTTTCCCTTATATACTATTCTGGTGATAATTCTCCCTAGGGTGGGTCTTCCATGCCCAGAACTCTGAGAGCCAATTTAGTTGGGTGGGACTTAATCACATCCACACAATCAATCAACCCTCACACCAGGCTTTGCTTGCTTTTGGATCTGAAGTGGGCAGGGCCAGGCCCCAGGCATTCTCCAATTTGGGGGAATCTGGAATAAGGAATAAGGCAACGTTTCAGGGCCCTCCTAGCCAGGTGTGGTGGTGCACACCTGTGATCCCAGCATGTGGGAGGCTGAGGCAGGAAGATCCCTGTGAGCTTGAGGCCAGCCTGGACTACATAGTGAGACCCTCTCTCAAAAAAACAAAACAATGGGGCAGGGATTTAGCTCAGTGGTGCCATGCCACCCTGGCGAGAGCTAGGTCCTGAGTTCGATTTCCAGTACACCCCCCCAAAACAAAAGAGAAGAAAGAAAGATCTGCGTGGATTTGGGGAGTCATTAGCGTATGGAGGTTATTTGAACCCTTGGGGACAGAGGAGGCATAGGAGAGGGCCCCAGAGCTCAGCAGGAAAGGAATCTTTGGGAACCAGCAGCCAGTGCAGTAGGAGAAGGAGGCTGGGTGGCTTTTTCTAGATGCCTCCGGAGGAAGGTCTTTTTTTCCACGTGGGGACGGAGTTAATATTGGGGCGCAGTGTGGCATAGCTGGCTGGGGAAATAAGCAGAACCTGTCACCTACAAGGTCCCAGGACAGTGCCAAATAATCCCCAGGACCCCCTAAGTGGGACTTCTCGTGGGCTCTCATGAGATTTGGACGACGTGTAAGGACACAGACTCCAGGAGGAGCCTGCAATCCTGACTCCTTGTGGTAGCCCACTTGGTGTCTCCTACACGCTTTATTTTCGCTCCTTTTCTCTTGTTCGGCCAGGTTTTTGCTGCAGAGCCAGTTTTTCCCTTACTCCTTTACCCATCACTTTTCAGATAAACTTTTGGGACCATTTTTGGCTTATCTCATCTAATTCTTCATTCAAGGCAAGAAGTTTAACTGACAAACCATTTCTAAAGGAACCACCAGATAATGAGGTCACTGCGTCATTGTGGCTGAGAGTTTGAGGACCACGAGGAATTGACTTCGAACTTGGGCAAGCATTTGGTTCCTGGGGACCTTGGTAACAGGTGTTGCATTAGAGTTTTCTGGAAAATAACTTTTAAAAATATTTATTTTATTTTATTATTATTATTAGTTTTTGGTACCAGGGATCAAACTCAGGACCTTGCACTTGCAAGGCAGGCACAGTGCCACTGAGCTAAATCCCCGGGCCCCCCAAATGTATATTTTACTAATTCAGATTAACTTTTCAAAATATTGAGCTTCAATGTTGTTACAGCTTGTGTCTATCTGTCCCCCCAAAGCCTCATGCGGTCATAGGTGGAGCTTATCAGAGGTGGCAGGATCTAGAGTGTGATGCTGAGACCAAGGGTGTGTGGTTACTAAATGAGTCCACTGATTGGTTTTCCATAGTTCTGGGTGTGCATGGTTGGAAGGCCCAACCTGGGTGTGCTCCCGTCCTAAAGGCGTACAGCCCGACAGAATGTAAGGGACAGAAAGAGGGCTGTTATGGCTGCTTGCTACTTCACCGCTTGCTGCCTTGCTGCCTTCTGCCCGCTCCATGAGGCCCCTCTGCCATGCCACCCTACCTTGGAGCCAGCCAGCTATGGAATGAAACCTCTACGAACTGGGAGCTAAATAAACCTTTCCTCCTTTAACTTTTTTTTTTTGGTACCTGGGATCGAACTCAGGTCCTTGCACTTGCACAGCAGGTGGCGAAACCCTGAGCTAAATCCCCAGCCCTCCTTTAACTTTGGGTGTCAGGTATTTTGTGTCAGCAATGAAAAAAAGTAACTAAGGCAAATGTAGTGTTTTCATACAGGCATATAACTAACATTTTGTTTGTTTTTGAGAAAGGGTCTTGCTATGTAGCCCAGACTGACCTCGAACTTGCAGCAGTCCTCTTGCCTTAGCCTTCCAGTTCTGGGTTTATAGGCCTGCACCACCACGCCTGGCTACCACACTCTTTTTGAACCCAGGGCCTTCACACTGAGCCATATCCCCCACCCTTTTTAAACTATTATTTTAATTTTGAGACAGGGTTTGTGCTAAGTCACCAAGTTGCCCAGGCTGGGCTTGAACTTGTGATCCTCCTGCCTCAGCCTCTCAGAGTGCTGGGATCACAGGCGTGCACCATCATGCCTAACTGCGTGTAACAATTTGATCATATCTCTGTTCCCCTTACTCTCCCATCCACTCCCCTCTCTGAGAAATAGTTTGTATTTCAAAGTATTTCAAATGGCTGGATCTCCATGACATCCCCTAGGGGGCAGTGTTATGCTTGGACCAGCAATTTTGTTTTGGAAACATGGTCTTGCTATATGCAGCTCAGGATAGCTCTGACTTCACTATGTCAAAGGCTGGCCTCAAATTTGTGACGATCCTGCTGCCTCAGCCTCCCAAGTGGTAAGATTATGGTCGTGCACCACCACACCTGGCTTTTGCTTTTGGTAATAGAGGTCTGCTCCACCTAAGAACTTAGGAGCATTGAGGAAAACATTATTTTTCAGGCACCTACACCTCTTCCTGTTACTTTTACTTTTTGATTTAAATCTTTGGAGGGGTGCATAAGTTGTTTTGGTAGCTGGCAGTTATCAAACTCAGCCACGTGTATCCCTAAGGTTTCTCCAAGTGATTGTACGTAAATTTCACATCAAGGAAAAACTACACAAAGACTGAGCTCTAGGTACTCACTAAGCACCGAAGTAGCAGGAGGAAAATGTACAGCTACACGTAACTGACATTAAGATGCCAAAAAATTGAGCTGGGGGGGGGTGTAGCTCAGTGGTGAGCACCTGCCTAAAATGAGTGAGGCCCTGGGTTGGATCCCCAGGACCTCCAATCAATCAATCAATTAGTGAATCAATCAATCAGGTTTTTTTTTGTTTTTTTTTTTTTTGGTATCAGGGATCGAACTTGGGTCCTTGCACTTGAGCAGCAGGCGAAACCACTGAGCTAAATCCCTGGCCAATCAATCAGTT